TACTACTCTAGGCCTAGTCATAATATTCTTCCGAGTTTTCCCGAGATTTCTCATGGTTTGAAAGTGCATGTGTGAAACGAACCAAAAATCTCAGAATATCAAACTTGTTACAACTTGTTAATAGTTCTTAAAAGTTGTAATATTTTCTGCTAGTGTGAAATGGGTATTTGAGACTTAAATTGGCCAAATTTAGAAAAAAAAAAAAAAAACTGTACATCAATGAAGCTGTAACAATGTATAAGATATTGAATTATTTAGCACCATCCTACTTTAAGAAACCGGTTTCATAAATGTGAACATATATATGAAATAAGGTCAAATAACATTTTATGCTCGCATAAACCAAAGACTGAATATATAAAAAGAAGTTTTTCGTATCGTGGGACAGAAATCTGAAATAAACCTAAATAATTTTGCAACGACTGCTTCTAATATTTATACTTTTAAAAGACTAATAAATAACTGACGGGATTAAATATTTTAAATAATGAACAAAAAACTTAAAACTTTGCTTGGCAAATTAGCTCCAAAAAAGGCAGGTCATCCTGAGGACCTACCTGCTTGGCTACTTAGAAACTTTGCCCCTTAACTAGCGCCGCCAATAACAGATATTTTTAATTGTGCCCTTAAAGCAGGTATATTCCCTAGCTTCTGGAAAAAGGCACTGCCATTCCAGTTCCTAAAATCAAGAGTGTCAAATCATATAATGACCTTAGACCAATATCCCTCACACCTATACTTGCTAGAGTCTTTGAATCTTTTTTAGTTAAATGGATTGTGGAGGATATTAAAGTTAGTTTAGATTCTAGACAATTTGGAAGTAGGAAGAAATCATTGACATCCCATTACCTTATAAGCCTAATTGACACAGTCCTTAAAGATCTTGAGTGTGGTGGAACCTATATTTATCTGTGTGCAATTGATTTTACTAAGGCCTTTGACCTTGTAGACCATTCCATTCTTATAAAGAAGTTAATCGACATCGGGGTGAGGTCGTCTATAATTCCTACCATCTGCAGCTTCCTCACCGATTGTACCATGAATACCAAGCATGCTGGATGTATATCTACTTCTAGAAGGTTACTTGTGGCATCCTGCAAGGGACAAAGCTAGGCCCTGTGTTATTCTTGCTGCTCATTAATGATGCATGTGTCGGAAGCTGCAGAAGGTGGAAATACGTAGACGACCTCACCCTGGGAGAGGTTGTTAATAAAGGAGCAAGACCTTCAATGCAGGAGATGCTTAATGATCTTAATGATTGGTGCAATGAGAACAACATGACTCCGAAGCCTTCTAAGTGTCATATAATGACTGTCAATTTTTTGAAAGATGTCAGTGTTAATGTAGAGTCCCCCATTTTCAATTTGAATAGCACAAACATTGATGTAGTAGAGCATATGAAATTGCTTGCTGTCATAATCCAATGTAATTT